ACCCAGGGAAGGGCGGATGCGAAGCTAGCCGCTGCTCCTCACGATGCGCAAGGGCGATCGCAGGGCGCATGTCCACGTCGATGACAATCTCCCGTTGCCGGCAGTCCACCTCTGTTGCGTCGATGCCAGGCGTCACCAAGATCTGGAAAGGAAACCCCGTGCGGTAGCAGCCACCACGTAGCCGAAGCACTAGCGTGAGGACGGCGTCGTTTGTGATGCCCTGCCCATGTAGGTCGTGAGCGTCGTGGAGACTCAGTTGCCTGTCGGTGTTGGCGTGCAGCAAGCGCAGTTGGTCAACTGGGATGCCTTCCTGGACTGAGATCGCGTTGAACAGGTCGAGCGTGCTCCAGTTTCCATGTGCCTCGACCTGAATCGCACGTCCAGTGAGTGTTTGCAACGTCAGCTGCAGCGGTAGCCGAGCTTGCGCAGCTCCCGCCCTGGCTGTCGCAAGCCAGGCAGCATCCGCCAGCAGGCGCGTACTGGGGTGCTCGAACTTGCCGAGACCAGCCATCACGCGTTTGACGAGATCGTTTGCCGCATTGTAGTCTGGCTCCATGATGCCTGCGCTGTGGGAAGAAGGCGTGCGCTGCGAGCTGGAATTTCTTTTTCTGGTTCTTTCTTGTGTGCACGAGTGAACGCAGGAAACAACGTATCTGCTTGCAGGGGCGCACGGGGTGGCAGGAGATAGGTGGTAGGTATGTTGTTGGTAGGGCCTGCAGAGCGACGCACTGCCTGAGGGAGGGTGTAGAGGATGTAGAGTGTAGAGCGCTGTAGAGCTGTAGAGATGTAGAGCGCTCCGGAGTGCTGTAGAGCTGTAGAGCTCTACATCCGCCGCGGGACGAAGCGGGTGCGTTGTAGAGCGATGTAGAGGCGCTCTACAACGTGAAATCTCTACAACAAACTCTACATCATAAGCGGCGAACCAGGCACGGTCGCTCTCCGACATGAGGCGCGTTGCACTTGCCAGTGCTGCCCTGGCCTTCTGTCTGCCCGCCCAATGGGTGGCAGGTGCCTCTGCTGCTGTGGCATGCCTCACGGCTACGACTGGCCGGCGCCTCGGCGCGTCAGCTCGGCTCGGCGTAGCGATCGTAGCCAGCGCAACTCGCCTGGACTCAACGCTCAGCCAGGAGCTCCCGCACACGCTGGCGCGAGGCATGGCGCATGCAACGCGTCTGAATGCTCGCCTCGCCTCGCGCAAATGCGACCGCCCTCGCAGCCGACAGTCCACCGCCTGCTAAAGAAGCACAGCGATGAATGCGGCACCGGCGACGCATGGCAGGCTGGTCATGACGCAGTTAGGTAGGTAGGTAGGGGCAGGGCAGGGGCCGGCCAGGTGAAGAGAGGGAAACATCCGACCATCCGGCCCGCTGGGTGCGCTTCTTAGCTCCCCGGCCCTGGGTGTGATTTGACAACCCGTTGTCCTTTACATACACCTGCAGAGGCCGGTGGCCGGAGGCTGTCTGCCAAGAGTGCGGGCGCTGCGCCGACTGCCCGCCAGCACCGTGCTACTTACTGCAGCCCGGAGTGCCAGTTGGGACTCTCCAGGGGGCCATCACGCAAGGTGGGCGAGCGCAAGGCGGGGGCGCGGTCGGCCCGCACAGACCGTTGCGAGTAAATAAATAAATAAATACAACGTACACGCCAAACGAGGGGTGGGAGAAGGACAGGGTCCCCACCTGCACGAGCAGGATCTTGTAAGGACGATCAGGGACACAGGGGAACGGGAGCGGGGAGCGCATCGCGACACGGAGGGGGGCTGGGCAGGGTTCACCCTCAGGACAGGGTCCCAGGGATTCCTCTCTCGTATAGGACAAGTTGCACCCGGCGGGCAAAGGGGGCAACGAGCGGGCCTCACTAGATCGTTCGGCTCTCAAGGCTCTCCTGATCAGGACTGGGAGTCGCAGGCGCCAAGAGGACGCCAGTAGCTCATTCGATGGGGGGTCTTGCCTAGTGC